CCAGCCATCCATGTGCCAAGCCATGTCCAAACCATGCCTTTGCTACTAACGACCTGCGGTTTACGATTTGTCTTCTTCCCTAGATCAAGGCTGCCGCCTCTCTGGCTTGGCAAATCTCGAGCAGCAGTAGTCTGTAGTACCTCCGACGGCTACGACGTCGATGCCGGAACACCACACACCTCCTATATATGTGGACATCATTCCTGAGGTGATACTCAACTCTGACGACCCACGAGTGAGTTTCCATTCAAATTTATAAGCGTTTCATGAGATTCTGGTTGAATCTCATTGGAATTTTGGACCCTTACCGCAAAACCCAGCCTAGATGATGAATCTCATTGGAATTCTGTGCGTCCATGACACTACTAACCGCTACCTTCAGCAGTGTCATATCTAAGTTCAACTTTAAGCTTTGTTTTACTTAACTCATTGCATTAGACGTGACATCTCCTTCATTGTTGATCTTTTGAGAAGATACAACACTGCGACTACACGCAGTCATTGAATTGACATTAATGACGTATTTTCATTACCCTAAAGGTTCTAAGATTTAAGCTTATCCATACGCATCACGAGTTGATCCAACCCCTTGATCCTCTTAATGATGCATGTCTTGTTTGTTATGGTGACGAAAATTACTTATCAAACTTGCACAAGGCACATTTCCAGATAGTTATATATTTACCATTAGGGATACTGCGATCCATGAAATAGACCTTAGTTGCGAAATCCTCAAATAGTTCCAAAGCTCATCACACCTCACTATGCTACACATAGGAAGTATGATTCAGGGCTCTTCTTGAGCGTATTCGAAGTACCTGCGGTTTCTCATTCATCATTGTGTTTCACTGACGATCTATGAAGACAATGTCGCATGTATTGACTAGACCAAGGCATGATACATCAAAAAGTCAACACCAAGCATATTGCACTCTTTTCACATCAGCAAAGCATCAAAAATTTGAAATCCAAAGCATGATAGGTTCAGGATTCGATTTTTTTGTAACTGACCAAACTCTAAAATACAAAATTAAAAAAGGCTTTGGCAATCAAGTCGATCGTTGGATTGTGGTTTAGAGACTTAGGTAGGCTCAAAATTGAAAATACTTTCACACCAAAAATAGCCCAATATATTTCTACAAGACTGCCCATATTTGCATGTGGCACAGAAAGAATATGTGGCCTGAGTGTGGAAGAATCTTGGCATTTTCTTTTGGGGTGTGCTATCCACACACCTCATTTTACTTTTTCCACACTCCTTGATAATTTATGTCCGTTAATCTTCTTTAATTCATCCGATCCGACGGCCGAAAATTAAAAAGGCATATAAGAAGTAAAATGGGGTGTATGAATATCACACCCCTTTCTTTTTTGTTCTAGTGAAGAAAGAGATTGAGGATTCGAGATTAGAGAGAGGAGGAAACATATAGCCGTGACATATACGTTTCTCTCTTCTGCAGCCTTTACTTTTGCTTCAGTATCGTTGTTGAAACTGATTCAGTATCGTTGTTGAATCTGACCGTTTGATTTGCTTGAACGTGTTCATCTTTGATTGTTGAATTTCTTTTGCACAGAGAAGTATATTAATGTCCTTACCCAATTGGAACAGATTAAACGTAAGATTAGTCGCAGAGTTTAATTTTCAAATAACATGTTTTTGGACATTGGACTAAAAACCAACGAAATATATTTATTTATCGTCTAATTAAATACATTTGAATATGAAACAGCAACATCACAGAAAAAATTAACTTGATTTCCTCTTGATCCTGAAATAATTAATAAAAATGGAGGATACAAATCAAAGAGAGCAAAGAGAGTCTGGAGATTTAGCTGAGGACAAGACTTTTGCCAAGAATGATGTCATCTGTTGAGTAATCAGCTGCTTTCCTGAATGTTCCTCTCCCAAAATCTAGGTTGTACGAGTCCGCAAGACCTTCCACCAGGTCATATTCGGGTTTCCATCCGAGCACGCTCTTTGCTTTGTCGATCGATGCAAAGAAATGCTGCATCAAATGAAAAAAAAAAAGCACAATTGAAGTTGGTTAATCAGGTTCCGGCTTCATGAAAGTAAAAGCATAAGTTTTCTTTAGCTTCTCGTTGAATTCTTAAAACGTCTCTAAGACCATATTTACCTGGTCACGGAATGGAAAGGCCTTCTTCTTGCCAAAATCGAACTCTTTAGGGTTGTAATGAATGATCTCAGCCTCAGGAAAACCAGCAGCCTAACAAAAGTGAAAACATAGGATAAACTCTAGTTTGAGAAGATTATGAATATTTGTCTATCTAGGAACTCCCCAGCAAGCAATTACCTTTGCGCATGCTTTTGCTAGTCCGTCAAAGGTGACATATTTGTCTCCCGAGATGTTGAATACTTGTTTGCTGGCCTTCTCGTTACCAAGAACCTTAATGAAGGCTGTCGCTAAGTCCTGCAAAACGAATTCACATAAAAAATTGCCCTTATATGCTGCAATATAGAAATCTAAGGAAGTACATTATGACTGACACTTCACTAACCTTGACATGACCAAGCTGTGTAATTTGTATCCCTGAGTTGGGAACTGGGATTGGGCGGCCAGCTTTCAACCGGTGGAAGAACCACTCTTCAACAGGGTTATAGTTCAATGGTCCATAGATGTAGACTGGCCTTATTGAAGTCCAGTTAACACCCTTTGATTCGAGCAAGCTCTCTGTCTCGAGCTTTCCCTTGTGCCTGCTCTTTGGATCAACTGCATCGATCTACCACCAGGGTTCGTCAAGTTTAGAATTATGGAAAGACAAATAGAATGAAATAGAAAGGATAAAAAAAATTAATATAGAGGAAAAACAAGTTAGGAATTAAGCTCAAATTTCCACAATGCCATGACAAGAGTGATTTGAAATTGAATCACAGTACAAGAGTAGGACCAAGAAAATGAAAAGTAAGCCATTTGTAACATAAAACATACCTCAAAGTGAGGTAGCTGATCAGATTTGAGATAGACACCAGCTGAAGAGCAGTATATGTACCTGAGATTTCAGTGGAATTCTTAGACCTTCCAAAAATTTACCCATTATATATATGTCGAAAATTGGAAATAAGTGCACTTTTAAATCTTTTCTGCATCAAACATTAGGTCTACCATGTTAGCGTTCCATTAAGTCTTAGAACGTTTTCAAAACGAAGTATAAGCATCAGCTTGCACTATACAAGTTGATCATTCCAGGTCATGAAGATTGATTCTTGCATCCATTTTGACTCACAATCACATCTCTAACTACAGTATTACCATTGGTCTTCTTCGTACACCTGAATAACGTGAGCTGCTTTTCCTCATTTACAACATATTTAACGAAAACCAGGTTTATTATCGTCTGAGATAATAAAATGGCAAGCTGCAGTCAAAGGTACTTGATTTTATGACAGAGAGACTAGAATTTTAAAATCTGCCATATTCTAAAGTATTTAGATCAGATATCTTATGATAGTATTGTTTTGTTTAACCATTAATTTTGTATTGCATACGAAGTATCACATGCTTGCTAATTTAGAGCTTACTTCTACTTCAAACATTCCTAATCTCAAACCATATCCAGGAGAAGATGACCTGACACTGGAGAACCGCCACGAAATAAAGGTGAAATATTTCAGTTGCTTTACTAATAAGATAAGCAAATTCATCAGTAGGCTGTTCTTACTGTTCTAACTTCGGTAGTCCCTCAATTATTGGCACAACTTCTTCTGCCTCTCTTCCTGAAAATTTCCAAGTACGGATTACGAAGCAGAACTGTAAGCTATAGTAAACAAGAACTTTATTCTAGTGAGGCAAATTCTAATTGCAGAGGCTAAATGTAAAGACCATTTATATCGTAAACAACATCATAGCCTTCAGCTGAAAGACTGGATTTCACAAAGTCATAGTCCTTTCTGTCTCCTTTCAAGTGCAAAATCTAGCAAAACACGATCACTAGAAAATGAAAATCTGAGAAAGCATTAGAAGTAAATAATGGACCTTCAAAGCCTTAGCGACACTATTAATACCTTTGAAGCGAAATCTGTGTAATCCGCATCGGATTCTCCTGGCAACTGCTGAGTAATGGGTGCTTTTCCTCTGGTAAACAGAGTCACCTGCCAAAGTAAACTCAATGTCATAACTTATCAATGTATCAAAAGAAAAAGTGTGATTGTTACATTGCAACGTGACATTACTAATTCACACGTTCTTACTAATTCCATGATGAGACTCGTAATTCCACGTGGTTGTGTGACAGTTACACTAAACTCATAATGATATCATAGTACGAAAATGATGAGAAAATCGAGATTTTCGAAATTTAGAAAGAGAAAAAGGATACCTGATGACCGTCTTTAACAAGGAGTCTTGACAAGAAGACGCCGATGAATCGGGTTCCTCCCATTATAAGAATCTTCTTTGCACTCGATGCTGAAACTTGCAATGCCCCTCCTCTTGGCTGCGATGCCCTTCTTTTACACTGCAACAATTAACACATGGGGTTCTAACTTCTAAGTTGAAAACAACGAAATGCAAGTAAAAACATAAACTTTCCGGCAAATGGGTCGAAATTGATTCAACAAAAAGGAAACTTAGATTCTACCTATCAAGGAAAAGCATCATAAGAACGCATATTTGAGAGAGAGAGAGGACCTGGAGTTGGAAGTGGAGGAGTTTGGTGCCATTGAAGTCAGAGAGAGAGGAAGGAGGGAGGAGAGAGAAAGATGGGTTTCTCTGCTGTGTTTGCACAGCCACCAACCTTGCCATTTCTGTCTTCTATTCAACAATTCTATATCCAATCTTCTTCTTCTTCCTCTCTCTCTGTGAGTGTTGGGTTTTCTGAAATTCTTGAAATATTTCTTGCCGTCGTCGTCTTCTTCCACTTTCTCTTGGCGTTCTCTCAGTCGAACATTCAGTCACAGGATAAGAGGGTATGACCCACCACTCCTCCTTTTCGGTTTGCCTATATCCACACTCCAGTCACTCCTCGGCCTCCCATTCCACCACTCTCAGCCTCCCCAACACGACGCTGTAAAGGTCAAAACTTTCGCGCCTTAAGGCGTCAAATGCCCATTTGTGAGTTGGGTTTGGGCTTTTGAGTTGGGTCAAGTTTTGGGTTTTGGGCTTTTTTGTGCTCTGCAAAAACTCCAAAATCTAAATGCTGAGAAGGCGAAGGATGCGAAGAAGAAAAGCTTCAGACTTTCGATTTTGCTTTTGTGGATTTGAAATTTATTCTAATTTTTTTTTTTACACAGAGAGAGAGATGTTGCAGTGCATATTTCTGCTATCGGATTCTGGGTAAGTCACCAAATCATTGAAATTTTTTTCCCATTTGATCTGAAAATTTAATTGACGAATTTTAGTAGGTAAGAGCAAATTTCAATTTTTTGTTGCTAAATTATGGGATTTTTCAGTGAGGTAATGCTGGAGAAACAGCTTACTGGGCAGCGTGTGGACCGTTCGATATGCACATGGTTCTGGGAGCATACAATTTCTCAAGGTGATTCTCCCAAGGTAGCTAATGAATTTTTTTATTTTTTTGCCAAATTGTAAATTTTTAGGCATGGGCGTAGTCACGTTGGCTAGAGAGGGCCGGATATACTCTCTATGCACCCTGAATTTGAATCCCCCTTCCGTAGTTTAGATAAGTTTAAAGTAGGGTATCGTCCGAATAAAAAGAATTTGTATCTGTTACCTTTATCTGGTTTTCATGAATCTTTCAAATTGGGTTTATTATCTTGTATGTTGTTGTTACTTTTCAGTTTTTAGTTGTGTATGTATATAACTTATGGTTCCCTCCCTTTTCACTTTATTTATGCATACAGTCAAGTTGATATGTAGTTGGTTGTGTGCTTGTCATTCCATTTCTTACACCCTATGTGTGATTTTGTTATTAGCTGCAACCAGTAATTGCTTCGCCAACACACTATCTTTTCCAAGTTCTTCGCGAGGGGATAACGTTTTTAGCTTGTACCCAAGTTGAAATGCCGCCTTTGATGGGCATCGAGGTGAATATCATAGCTGAATGTGTGTTATATTTTATGATTTGATTGTGTATGCGTTGAACAAGATTGAACTTTAACGTTTGACTTGTAGTTTCTGTGCAGGGTAGCTGATGTCCTGACAGATTATCTTGGCAGCTTGAATGAAGACTTGATTAAAGATAACTTTGTCATTGTATATGAGGTAATTGTCTTGATTATACTTTTGCTGCTTATTGTGATTTGATAAGCGAATGCTTTGCTATCATCTAGTGTCTTAATTATCGTTTCTTCTAGAATGCGTCTGTTGTGAGGACTATCGTTTGCCTTCGTATCTGTGATTCTTTTGTAAACCACTTGTAACGTAGAACTAAAATCTCAACAACAACATGGACAAGTTCAAATTTTACCTTCGTGACTGTAATCGATTAGTGACTTGGACCTGGCTGCTAATTAGTCATCATCTAGTGTTTTCTTTGCTTCGATTGAACTTTATAAAATCTTTACTGCTGTTTGCAGCTTCTGGATGAGATGATTGACAATGGCTTCCCTCTCACTACAGAGCCGAATATTCTGAGAGAGATGATTGCTCCACCAAATATGGTAGACAAGGTGTTGAGTGTAGTCACTGGCAACAGTTCCAACATGATCGACACACTTCCGGGTTCAACGTCATCTTGCATTCCATGGAGAACAACAGACCCAAAATATGCAAACAATGAAGCTTATGTTGATCTTGTTGAAGAAATGGATGCAATTATAAACAGGTCTATCTTTTATTCTTTTCTTCAAGATTAAAAGTTCTGATTCGTAGAATTTGATTCAAATCTCACTTAACGTTATACAAGTCAATTGGTGTTTACCTTTAACCGCACTAAAATTTATAAGACGTTATCAGTTATGGATGGTGATGATTACTCTACAAAATTTGCAGATTTTGTAGTTATAATTGGATGAGTTATATCTCAATGTTTTGTACTTAAAGATTTCTGGTTGCTGCTCAGGGATGGGGTCCTGGTGAAATGTGAGATATATGGTGAAGTTCAAGTAAACTCCCATCTCTCTGGTGTCCCTGATTTGACTATTTCATTTGCAAACCCTGCTATTCTTGATGATGTAAGATTTCATCCATGTGTTCGATTTCGCTCATGGGAAGCCCATCAAGTTCTGTCGTTCGTGCCCCCTGACGGACAGTTTAAGTTGATGAGTTACAGGTCAGTGGTGTAAAAGGGACACTAAGTTCTTAAATTGGGGGAAATTCAAAGCTTACTTATGTGCAGTATTTTGGTATCTCCGTCCTTGTTTTATTTTCTAAATAATTGTATGCTTCTTTTATACAGGGTTAGAAAGCTGAAGAGCTCTCCAATCTATGTAAAGCCCCAGCTAACCTCAGATGCTGGGACATGTCGTGTTAGTGTGTTGGTTGGAATACGAAATGATCCTGGAAAGACAATTGATTCAATAACTGTACAATTTCAACTTCCTCCCTGCATTTTATCAGCTCATCTGAATTCGAATTATGGAACCGTGAACATTCTTGCTAACAAGGTACGAACATAGGATTTCCATATCACTCGTACCCTTGGCATGATGACTAGCCTTGAATTTCCATTATCAATTGTGATACGTACTTAGATGAAATGGTAGTTCAGGTATTTTTATCCCAATTATTCTTCACTGTTCTGGTTGTAATTTCTGCAGTTTTTAAAGGATGAGAATGCGTAGTTCTCCTGGTCGGATTTTGGGTTTAATATAACTAACTCTACTTGTTTTTTGTAGACATGTTCATGGACGATAGGGAAGATTCCTAATGACAGAGCCCCTGCAATGTCTGGGACACTAGTGCTTGAAACAGGATTAGAGCGCCTTCACGTTTTTCCGACATTTCAAGTGGGTTTTAGGATCATGGGTGTTGCCCTCTCTGGCTTGCAAATAGATAAACTGGATTTGAAGAATCTACCAAAACCACCTTATAAGGGTTTTCGAGCTCTCACTCGAGCAGGGGAATTTGAAGTCAGGTCATAATGCACCGATATGAATCCCTATTTGTGAAAATTACTCAGAATGTGATTAATTATGTGCTGCAGTTTGTAATTTGTAAATTTGTTTTTGTAACATAGCATTTCGGTCTTGAGAGTGCCTTCGATTTAGCTGAAATGGATTTGTAACGGTTTTTCTGTTACTGAAGAAATGAAAATTACAGTGTTTTACAGAACTAGACTGCAATTGGCATTTGAAGCAAAGGAATAAGAACCTTGGATGACAAAATTTTGTACAATCTTACGGTACCTAAACAGCAAGCTTGTTCACTCTGAAGGACTCCATAACCCGGCGAAGATCACTTTCTTCTTCCACAAACACATTTTCCGGTGTCTGTAATCTCAACTCGTATAACTGGTTGTTTTCGACTCCTAGAACCGAAAGGTACCGCCTGTCCCATTCCAAACGAACTAATCGATCCTTCGGCATAACAGCCAGCTCGTTATTGTTTGCATATGATTTTATGTTCACCTAGAAAACCCATGTCAAAACACACTTTCTTAATGGTAATAAAGCTTCTAAAAATGCATGGAACTGACCTCAATTTGATAATAAAGCTTCCCATCATCAGCAACTCTTGAAGAAGTGGAAAGGATTTTCGATTCACGCCTCACGCCAAGTCTGGTAGACATGAACTCCGTCAGGTACTGCTTAAGCACTTTCTTTCCGGCTAGTTGAGGCGGGCCAAGATCTTTGATGCTCTTGTAGTTGGAAGATGATGGAGATGAAAACTCGACGGAGATATTTTCATCGAGAATGTAAGGGTCTCTGAAGAATATGTCTGCTCCGGCACCTTTCACTTGGATCCAGTTCTTAGGGTACTTGAACGAATATCCATCAAAAGTATCTATGTATTCTCTTAACCCTACAAGAGACTGCTGAGCAAATGCAGCACTCCGGAAACTGTCTCCGGCGAAGATGTAAGCTGACAAGATTAAGGCCATTGCATTTCTCCTAGGAACTGCAAAATCTTTAGTCTGATTATATATTAAAAATATGTAGTAAGAACACAACCATTGTGGAAGTTTTTGGAAATTTCATGTCAAATTTACAAATGTGTGACTCCTAGCATACCTTTGAAGAAATCTCAACAGAATCCCTGTCTGATTCGCCTCGAAAGTGCTCGGAAATCGGTGTCTTCAGTCTGCCATCCATTTTACAAATTTCCTTTGCATTTGATGCTGCAACATGTAATGTTCCTTTTGGCTGTGAAACCTTTCTCCTGTACTGTAATTGATTAATGATGTACTGATGTTAAAAACAAAGCCACATCACTTAGTGTCGAAGCTCAGAGAAGGAAACGATCAAAGCTAGTAGACTGTTTTACGAGACGATATTCTAAACTTGTCTAATTTACGGAAATGAGGACTCAAGTTTGGGTGCAAGGGGGAAGGCAAAGTATCCTAGCCAACTGGCCTAACTTACGACTGCAAGTGTTGGAGTTCCATGAAATTCACCTTCTACATATGGTATATCTATATCATCATGAATCTTAACATTATGGAAATGACATATTAGTTCTACTTTGATGTTTTTTCGACAAAGCGATATTCTAAACTACTCTAATTTACAGGGAGGGGAACTTTAACTCGGGTGCAACGTGGCGGCACCCTCCTCTGGCCAACTGGCCTTATCTACATCTGCAATTCTACTCTAGGTTCTAGGAAAATCAACAGAAGCTAGTACAGGTATAATGAAAGTCAGTTCCATTGAGGTTCCCAACATTGTGAAACTTGGAACAAAAATTGCAGAAAGCAGAACCTGGAGTTGAGGAGTGTGAAGTCTGGTGCCATTGAAGTGAGAGAGAGAAGAGGGGAGAGGAGAGAGAGAAGGGTGTCTCTGCTGCAGCACCACCACCAACCTTGCCATGTTTCCCTATCCCCTATCCAGTATCCACTATCTCCTCCTGCTTTCTTTTTCTTGGTTTTGTTGGTTGCATCCACAGCCTATCTATCAATCAAAGGGAATCTATGTTGTTGGCCCTATAACCAAGACGGGCCAACAAAGGATGGACCATATCTCCAAGTCCATTTGACCCATAATCATGTTTTGGTAAGGAATATTATACCTCTCTTTTTTTTGTCTATCGATTCTCTTTTACTTTATTCAATTTTACGGTTAAAAGGATACATGAGTGTGAATATCATTTCTGTTTGGTAATCCTTCATCGAAATACGCCATTAGGGTTTTCCTTTCTTTGGTCGATTTTCACCTATTTGAAACTCGAGTTTGAAAAAAACTTATGCATACCGGATTTGAAATGTCAATAATTTGAACAAAACTAGGCATGATATTAGTGGTGTAAAAGATTTGGGGTTCGCCAAAAGAAAATTGGCATATGAAAACATTGAAAATTAGTGGATAACAATCATTGGACACATCACAACTACCACAGCGTAGTCTATAGTTGGGGACGAATTCCAAGCCCGTATTCTACAAGACACATCTTGGGTTCATTTCATTGACGCTAATGAATCACACAATAGTAGTTGGGGAAAGACTGAAATGTCTCAATGAGTCTTCTTAGTTCAAAAAAAAGGACAATCATGGTGAAACCACTAACTAATTCTTTTTTTTTAAAACAAAAAGCAAAAAAATTATTGGACACATCACTAGCACTTATCCCTTCTTTATGTACAAAGTCCCTGTACACTTGCAAAAATGTTATGACTTCAGAGCAGTACATCCACAAATCAAATCTTAAAATAAGAGTAGGATAAATTAGAACAAAAATCTTAACTAAGACATCCCCCAAATCTATATAATCCATTCAAATTAGCCAACTACACCGCCAACTTAATTAAAGTTGCCGTGTAAGATGGAGAAGCCCGCGATTCTTTGACACTGTTGGAGAAAGTATCAACATCCACAATTTCTTCGTATTCTATTTTTACATCGCTACACTTTCTATTTTTATGAACTTATTTAAAATTGTTTTGAAATGATTAAAAGCACTTTTTAATAGCTAAAAACATTTATGATTTTTACTTTTTGGAAAACGGGTTTAAATGCCTCTTATGAAAACAATCTCAAACAAGCAGTAAATAAATAGTTTAACATTTTGCACTTAATTATGAAAATATCTTAGGCAGCTTAAGTAATTAAAGACCCGTTTAAGAATAAATCTCCCAAATTTCTTTGCCGGGCGGGCCCTTTTTTCCGTAGTCTCCAAGGCGCCACCGTTCATGCATAAAAAGCTATCTTCCCTGTTTACTTTCCTGAACCAACCTGCAATCCAGAAACACCATTTTCTTCTGCTCCAACCTCTCTCTCTCTCCTCCGCCGATGAACGCCTTCTCTCTCTGTAAGTTCGAAGAAAATCCCAACTCCGTAATCTGCATCTCAATCTTCAAAGGATCAGGATAGCTGTATATCTGTATGTGCATATAGATATAGCTCCAATGTTATGTTTTGTATCGTTTGAAGATTTGATTTTGCTGAGCATTCATCTGGCTTAAAATCTTTGATATGAATTCCCTGAGTCTTCTTTGTCACGCAGCAATGAAACCCACCTGTAGAATCCTCAATAGACGTCGAAACTCGGCGTTTTTTGGGTTTCCACGGCCTGCAAAATGGCTCCATGGTTTGACGAAGACTGGAAATTCGTCCAGTTTTTGTGTCAATTTTGAGCAAAACAGCCAATATCACGCCAACGCTTTTCGTATTTCGGGCCCTGGAGGCGTTTTCGATGATGCCCGGAAAGCCTCTCAGGTTCCCAGTTGGAGTTTTGGCCAATCTGGGGTTATATCTAGGTCTTCTAGGTCTTATAGTGCTGGCATAGGCACAACTAGTAGAGGTGTTTCTGTGATTGCTAGTTTGGCATCCAGGTTTCGGAACCTTTCAACATCGATCGAGACCCGTGTGAATGACAACAACTTCGAGAGGATATATGTTCAGGGCGGTATAAATGTGAAGCCTTTGGTGGAGAGGATTGATAAGGGTGAGAACATTGTGGGAGAGGAAGAATCGAGGATAGAAGTTGGTGATGAAAAGAAATCGGAAAGTTTGAATGAAGCTACGGTTGTGAGTCCGGAGAGAGAGTATTCGGATATTGAGAAGGAGGCGTGGAGGCTATTGAGGGATTCGGTTGTGATGTATTGTGGGAATCCCGTGGGGACTGTGGCTGCAAATGAACCTGGTGACAAGCAACTGCTGAATTATGATCAGGTCTTTATCCGTGATTTTGTTCCATCGGCGCTTGCTTTCTTGCTTAAGGGAGAAGGGGAGATTGTGAGGAACTTCCTTCTTCATACATTGCAATTGCAGGTAATGGTGTGCACCACTTATCTTGGTTCCTTTCTTTTCGAGCATTAATTGTTCCGCCTTTTCGTTTTTGAATACATGATATCATGAATCGAAAGTTTGAAACCTCACTTTTTCTATAGTTTATCAATAAACAAGTTTTCAAATAATCAGAATTTCCTTTCTACGTCATTTAAACATTGCTGATTTTGGAGTTCCAGAATTGGCACGATTCCTTTTTCTTTCTTCCAAAACAAACATTCCATTGGTTTTGGCAAAGCTTGACTAAATTTTCATGTTGACCGCGTTTCTGTGTAATGTACCTTGAACTAATGTAGGCTTCTGGAACTCCTGATCATATGTTTCTTCTGTTGTAGAGTTGGGAGAAAACTGTTGATTGCTACAGCCCAGGACAGGGATTGATGCCTGCAAGTTTTAAAGTTAGAACTGTACCTCTCGATGGAAATAAGATTGAAGAAGTCTTAGATCCAGATTTTGGTGAATCAGCTATTGGACGTGTTGCACCCGTAGATTCTGGTAAGTAGATTATAACAGTCTGCTGTTGTTGCCATCCAGGTGTTATTGGAGGCTGATAGGCATTTCGTAACTTTTCTTAAAAGCAAATTTTTTTTTAAATGATCTTCCTAAGTTATGGCATCTAATGGATAATGGTTTGTTGGTTGTGTAACTTCTCTGTCAGGATTATGGTGGATTATTCTGTTGAGGGCTTACGGAAAGATAACTGGTGACTATGGATTACAGGAGAGGGTGGATGTTCAAACAGGCTTGAAAATGATTCTGAACTTGTGCTTAACTGATGGTTTTGATATGTTTCCATCTCTTTTAGTCACCGATGGCTCCTGCATGATAGACCGCCGGATGGGTATCCATGGCCATCCCCTTGAGATCCAAGTGAGTTACGAGGCTACTTTCAATATTTCTTAAGAATACATTCATCACTTTATATTCTTTCTGTATTCTACAAAGAGGCTACTTTGTTTGTTTTATTACTGTAAGTGTAACCTTCTTGAACATGAATTCTGAAAATTGTTGAAACTAGACTTTTTAAGAATATTCGGCTGTGTCCTGATCGTGCCCTTTTGTATGATACACACCGGTTTTTATATGGTCGTTTTTATTCTTATTGTACCCTTGTGTTATGAATTTTAACGCTTCATTTCAAAGTTTGTGTATGTTACCTCATGTTTGGCTAATGTCATTATGCTGAATATGATTTTTCAGGCCTTATTTTACTCAGCTCTTCGATGCTCGCGTGAGATGCTTGGTGTAAATGATGGATCCAAGAATTTGGTAAGGGCCATCAACAACAGACTCAGCGCTTTGTCATTCCACATCAGAGAATATTACTGGGTGGATATGAAAAAGATCAATGAGATATATCGGTATAAGACAGAAGAGTACTCTACGGAGGCCACCAACAAGTTCAATATCTACCCTGACCAAATTCCTCTATGGTTAATGGACTGGATTCCAGAAGAAGGCGGGTATCTTATTGGCAATCTACAACCAGCCCACATGGACTTCAGGTTTTTCACTCTTGGAAATCTTTGGTCCATTGTTTCTTCATTGGGTACTCCGAAGCAAAATGATGCTGTATTGAATTTGATTGAAGCCAAATGGGATGATCTTGTGGGGCATATGCCACTTAAGATATCCTACCCTGCCTTGGAGTTTGAAGAATGGCGTATAATCACTGGCAGCGACCCAAAGAATACGTGAGCTAGCCGCTCGTTTATATTTGCTGGTTGTCTTGTTCTAGCATCTAACTTGTTCATGATCAGTTGCTCACTGAAGTATGTTTGTCTTGACTCCTACAGCCCTTGGTCATATCATAATGGTGGATCCTGGCCGACGCTTCTGTGGCAGGTGAGCGTTGCTTCAGTAACACTAAATATTTTGTGTATGCTCAAGAAATTATGACATTTTGTGGAATTATTTGTCATGATACTACCATCGGCCTCCTCTGTTATTAGGTGGGAAGCTGTTGCAGTTTATGTTGAGTGTTTTGATCTTGGTTTTCCATCTAAAATGCTTTTTCTATCCTATTTCAGTTCACATTGGCATGCATCAAGATGGGCAGAATCGAACTAGCTCAGAAAGCAGCGGCATTGGCTGAGAAGAGGCTTCGATCTGATCGCTGGCCCGAGTACTATGATACAAGAACAGGGAAGTTTATTGGAAAGCAATCGCGGCTTTACCAAACATGGACCATTGCCGGGTTCCTTACAACTAAAATGCTGTTGGAGAATCCGGAGAAGGCGGCCTTGCTATTCTGGGACGAGGATTACGAGCTTCTTGAAATCTGTGTTTGCGCACTTAGCAAGAGTGGCCGGAAAAAATGCTCCAGAGGTGCCGCTAAGTCTCAGATTCTTGTATAACGAGTCCCATTCTTTCGAGGGCAACAAGTTTGGCCTTTGTACTGTACAGTAACACGTTTAGGATAGGGTACAGAAAAGTTGGATAGCGAAGAGTACTCCGATTCAAAATGTATCATGAAGGTGGTTTTTTTTTTGGGTGCTTTAGATTTTGGCCCTTACAATTCATTATTTCTAGATAAAAACCCATCTATCTTTAAAGATCCAGTTTAAGCCCTAATTTAAAATTTGCAAACATATAGTAACACTATTGACCTATTAATGCAATTTATTTACACTCATGCCACTCATACTTTATGGTCCCTTTTTCAAATTCCTAAATTTATGCCAAATTAAAAGTAGTAGAAAAAGTGAAATAAAATGAACAAAGTGTTTGCATTAACCATATCTATGTTAAACTAGAAAATTAGTTTTTTTTTTTTCGTGATATATTTTGTAGCAATTTTATCCATGTTAATTGGTAGGTAAATTAGTTTGTTCCAATTATTTAAAAAAAAAAATACTACACCTATATTATATATTTTGAATCAAATAACATTCCTCTAACTTGTAGGTAAATTATTTTCTATGTATTGTTATATATGTTAGACACGTTTTGTTGTTGTATAAACATGAGTGGAACATAATATTGTTGATTTTATACATCAAACTGCATTTCTTTTGTTATATGTAAATTATTTTCCATGTACAAGTACTTATGTTAGGCAAGTTTAGTTGTTGGTACCTACACCCATGGTATAATTGGTGTAGGTAAATTATTGGAAATTAATTTGTAGTTAGGTAATGAACATTTTGCATCATTGGAAATGAACATTTCAAAGAGTAGGTAGGTAAATTAATTTGTTCTAATTATATAATAAAAAATTACATGACACCTAGTTATATTTAATTTTTCCAATTATTAAAAAAATTGATGCTACACCCAACCAAATAACATTTCTCTAACTTGTAGGTAAATTATTTTCCATGTATTGTTAGATATGTTAGGCACGTTTTATTGTTTTATAAACATGGGTGTAACATAATATTTTTAATACTATGCATCGAACTACATTCCTTCTTAATATAGGTAAATTATTTTCCATGTAATTAGTACATATGTTAGGCACGTTTTGTTGTTGGTATATTATTTTGCATCATTGTAAAAAAGAGATATTATATTACACCCATGGTATAATTGTTGTAGGTAAATTAATGTGCATGTAGATAATGAAATACAATGTTCTAATATATTAATAAAAAGGGATAAATTCAAAAGTATTCAAGAGTAGGGTGAAAAAACTAAATCGAATAGTTTTATGAAAATTCAAAACCTTTCTAAAAAATGAATATGCAATAAATTTTTAACATTAATGTCTTTTTTTTTTCTTGTTGCAAAATCATTTACTATTTCCTTACAATTAATTGTCTACATCAAGTATGTAATAAGGGTATTTTAGGCATGTGAAAAATGTAAAATGTGTGAATTAATATGAAGTTAATGAATTTGCTTATGTGGATCCTAGTCATTGGGTTTTCTTTGAGTAAAAAAGTTATGTAGGGTTTTATATGAAGAAAATTGAGTTTGAAGGGCTAAAGTCACATTTTCACTTTTTTTTTCCTGCATTATTTGTTTTGTCGACCAATTAATCGGTTGAGATGATCGGAACACATTTACAATGTGAAATATGTACTTAATAACAATTACCACACGTGTACTTGTATAACAGTTACATGACCGTGTATCTTAAGAATGCCTTTTGGTTGCTGATTGTTGATATTTCTACCTGCATTTTTTTTTCCATTTTAAGACGAATCCGTGCTTCACTTTTTTTACACATTGTTTATGAAGCTTATTTCGTAATGTATTTTAACATTATGAACATATATTTTTTAGATTTTCTCTCAAAGATTTACAGCTATAAAAATCACCAAATCTAAAACTGTATTCGTCAATTTTCTTCACTGCAATTAAATATCTTAATGGTTTTCAATTTGTCTAATTTTTTACAAGAATGATCTATGAATGATACTCTAAACGATAGACGTCTGAATCGTTAAAATACATTTGGATCTATAAACGGTATTCTTTGATAATCTAATTATCATTCTTTCATAGGACTATATAATCTAATTAGGGTAATTAAGCAATGGATGAAGAGTGAACTAATTAAGATTACCACTAGCCCTAAAAAGATATATACAACAATTTTGTCCAGAACAATAACAAGTCTAACCCCACAGAAGCTACTTCCCCCAGTCTAAACGAGCAGAGCTTACGAATCAGGTTCAGGGTGAGCGTGGTGCATCTCCTGTCGTCTCATATAGTCCTTAATAGTCAAGGCCGAAGCATGCCTCCTCCCGTCATCCAGCACTCGACGCCCGACTGTTGCTTCGATCCTTTGTCTTCTCTCCATATACGCCATCCCAGCACCCTGAGGTCCACCGTACTTCTGAAGTGGAGCTAACGAGATTGGCAGCTCGAAATTGTGCAGCATGTATGATTCTGTCCCTTTGTCCACAGGAGCACTTGTATCAACCAACTTCCCTGCACCGGCTGCTGCTTCCAATGCTGCCTCTGTTGCTTGCATACCAAGCTCTCCTGTTACATTTGCCTTTTCCCCGTTGCTGCCTGTACCGGTAGTTCCATCTGTTGCCTCAGCAGCTTCATTGCCTCCTCCAGGCCTTGCATCATAGTAATTTCTCGAGCGAGTCCATCTTCTCGAGAATGGATCATAACCAGCCTCCCCCGCTTTCAGATTCATATTTCTTGGTTTCAACCCCGAAGCATTTATAAAATTCTCGAACCTGTTCTTCCTGTTCATTTCAGCTAATCTAAAAGCCTTGCTATCTGTCCCCTGAGTTTGCCTGGATGCTTCTAATTCCTGGAGCCTTGTCTTGATCCTCTCAACTTCCTCATCGTTGCCTTTACTCTCTGCAGCATCCAACTGCCTCCTCAATCGTTCCTTCTCAACTGCAACGTTAACTGGTCTTGCTGACGCTTTTTTGTCCTGCAACATTTGCTTCACAGTGGCTGCTGAGTAAACAAATGTATTCGATTTCAGAAGGGTATCCTTCTTTTCTACCACCTCCTGTTTGCTTGGCATTTGGCCAGCACGCTTGACTTCCTTAAGCCACTGTTCAAACTCCTTCTCTTGCGGAGGAGAATCTGAGACATTAGCCATCGGCCATTTGGAAGCAGAACTTTCACTGCCCCAAACACAATTCAAGTATTTATGTGTGACTTTACCCTCTAACTTGTACTCCCGGCCGGGATTTGTGGCAACCACATTCTGAACCATGCAAAGCCTGTAGATAGGACCTTCTGATGATATGCCAAATCCAACCCTAACAAAGCAGCCCACGATTAACTCCTCAAAAAATGGTTCCATAACCCATTTTGCAAGTTTTGACCTTGGAATGGTAATATCCTTTATGTCCCGAAATGTCAGTAGCTCTGAACTTTCCTCATCGCTGTCAAGGAATTCATCATCCGCATTCAATGCTTCCTCTTCATTAGGCAACCCGTCCAGAGTCTCTATTTGAATGGAGCGATGCTTGGTTGGTGAAATATCCTGGCTACCTGCACCTCCTTTTGACGTGTCCCTTAACTTATGGTGATCCTTTGAGTCTTGTTGCTTCATACGTTTTGCTCGCAATTTATTCAATGCATCATCCATAGCCGCTGACTTGTCAGCAGCCCGAGCTGACGAGCGTGCACCGCGAGAAAATGGAAGAGGGTCCTCTTTCCTTGATTGGGTAGACTTTGCATTGCCTCTCTTTGATCTCAATTTCTCCATGAAATCCTTACCGCCTTTCTTCTCTGCTCGATTTGTCAAAATCATTTCTCTTTCAAGTTCACTCATTGCTGCAAGCCGTTTCCTGTCAGCATCATTCTTGTAAAGATCAGGGCCAAAATCAGATTCATCACTATTTTCACCCTCATGATCAGAACCATCATAGCTAGAATCACGTTCTTCGTCACTGCCCCTTTCTGTAGGTTCAAACCTCTTCTTCAGAGGTACTTGAGAGGGCTTCCTGCTTCCACAATCATCATCTGAGTCTTCACCTCTGGAGTCACTTCCATCATCAGAATATGAACCTCCACGTTGCTTTCTAGAAGGTGGTTCCCGCTTTTTCCCAGCTGAAATAGTTCTTCCTGCGGCCTCAAGGAGGTCACTTTCTAATTCCAAGTCTGACATCCCCGTTGTTTAAGTCTCTCCTAAAATGGTTGTAATGTACAGAGCGACTAGTTCAGCCACAAGAAGAACGATTAGCATATACTTGGAGATATTTCACACATATAACATAAGAACACGAAATTAAACTGCCCAAATAATAATCGTATTCGAGCTACAATTAATGATGCTAATCTATGCCCATCTAGGAAAACTATCTTATCACAGTACTAGAGTGTCACGCAGAATCTTTCTCGAAGTATATGATAGCAATGCAAGTGACGTTGAAACCACACTGAACAAAGATATTCAGTAAGATTATCGTGCGTATAAATATTAAATTATGAATCCTGGATTCTTTTATTTAACAAACGATGTTAACAATGTTGTTAAACAAACACAAAAATTTTAAAAAATCTTAGCAATTCCATAATTTGCACTTTAAGGATAGATCTCACCAGTTTAAGCATTGATTGAGGACTCATACACACACTGTATACACGTGCACATGCACCATAAGAAAGAGAGATAGAAAGCGGGTTGCAACCGTTATCTAACTACGTGGTTAATAAGAACAAAAATCTTTATGAGACTAACCTAAACTTTCTCAGAAAAAAAGAACAAAACGCAGATATCGAATACATTCTACATGCTCGTTTCTCTCATAAATTATTGACAAAATCGTCCCACGAACCCTACCACATTCAACCAATAGGGAAAGTGACTAACAAGACAAACAGATACTAGTTTATACTTCCAGATCATTTCACTTTCCACATAATTTACTCTCTTCAGGAATTCCAAAACCGATCGCGGAATTAAAGCCAAGGTTTCCAAACGTGCTAATCAAAATGCCACCTAAGTTTCTACCAAAAACAGTTTTCACAGTTTGCCTACGAATATTACAGAGACAACATCAACAAAAGAAACAGTAATAATCGCACTAATATAACAACAGATTACAAAAGCAAAAACGATAATCTTTTCTAGGACAAGAAATTAGGGAAATTATAAAAAGTAGCGAACTTTGGGACTTGTTAAACACTTTTAGCCAACTTTTTTTTCGATTTTTAGAATTTTAACCACTTGAAGGGCTTGCTATATTTTCCTAATCTTAAGAAAAAGGAGGTTAATGGCTCGTTTGAAAGTGCTTTTAAAACAAAAACGCTTTGGTGAACATGTTTTTGAAATCAATCATCAGTGGATCCTGGAGAGTGTTTTCCACAAAATTCTTCCAAAAAAACACTTAAATGTTTTTGGAACTAAAAATCAATTTCATGAAAAACGCTTTCAGTCATCTTAAAAGTCCTTAATGTGTTTTGGGAAAAAAAAAAAATCTTAATTTTCCAAATTCCTCAAGAAATTGATATCACTAAAGGTCTCTAATTTATTCACCAAACCACAACAATAAAAAGAGAATTGCATGCTTGGGTGAAAAATCCACAACCTTTGATTCTAGCAAAGCACAAGGGTTGAGAAACAGAAACCAAACAACAACCTTAATATCTCCGAAGAGAAAATCAAAACCCCACAAAAACCCATGTTTTGGTTTGCTGATAAAATTGTAGGGAAGGAAAAAGATATTACCTTTATGATCAGAGGGGGTTGAGAGAGAAAATTCCTGAAAAACCAAACAAATTTTGGTTCAGCAACAGCAAATGGATCACGGCTGTTTCATGTTCGGCAGCCGAGAAAGTGCGGGAAAGTGCGAGAAAGTGATGGCTTCGTGTAGCTGTTCTGTGTGTGCACTCTCCTCAAGGCGGCACGTACGAAGTTGCACCACTCTACGAGTGTGGCGTGTATATAGGAACAGGAGGAGCTTCAGTTCATATCTAACTTGGAATAGTGGGAATTTGTCAAATTTTGAAAAGGCCAAAAAACGGTGTAACTCGCAACATAAATTAATGATAAATAATAAATTAAGATGTGTGTTATTCATACATCCTTTTTTTACTTCTCATACATCCTTTATTAATTTATGTCATTTGATTTTTTTTAATTCAATCGATCTGATGACGATCACAAATTAAGAAAGTATGTAAAAAATAAAAAAAGTACGGGATAACACATCTCTAAATTAATGGGTTGTTTGGTGTGGCCTACACAATCTCCTAAAGGAGTAATTAATTAACTTTGACAAACAAAAATTTAGAATGTTGGGCCTCTTAGCCCATCTCATTAAATATTATTTAATGGGCATGTGCTTGGAACCCATTATCTAACTGGACTTAAAGTAAAATGAACATTTTTGCTTATTGCCGTACACCTTAGTGTATGTTTATAATATACCTAATTATTTATCATGTGTCTTTTCACTTAATTTTGGTTTATTTTTTACGAAATTAAAAAAGTAAAATTTAATGTGAAAGTTAACTAGAGTTAGTTGAAATGATACATGATAAATAATTGGAAACTTTAACGAAAAAATTTCGGTGTTGTTCACTTTAATCAAAAATCACATTTTTACACTAAAAAGTCAATCTTGATACTATTCACTTTACCCTTTATTTTTTCATTTTTGTTAAAACTCAAAGTTTTCATACTTTTTTTTTAGTTTTTCTTAAATAATAAGGTTATAGCGAATATACACCATAATTATGATGGCGAGCGAAAATGCTTCCAGAAAATTTTTGTTTATGCTCAATTTTTGTCTATGAAGTATGAACATTCCTAAAATATTAATTTCTTAATGACCATTACGTCTCTACATAAAATGATCAAATAACTAGTTCATATAACCACAAGCTGGTAGCTAAGTGGTAAATGATGGATTACGAGGTTTCTTTAAAACTAAAAACTTGAGGTCTTGAGTTCGAAACTCGCTATGGAGCTGGAAGCCAGACTTGTGGCTAGGGAGAGGTTGAAATGCTTCTGTGAGTCTTCCCAGACCCCGAGAGGCTAAAATGTCTCTGTAAGTCTTCCCAACCTCCGAAAGATATGGATAACCGTGGTTTTCACCAATTGTCCCCTTTTTCTCTCATTGCGTAAACTCTCACGTCATTTTGTTTTTGTTAATGTGGGAAAACGAAACCTAACATATCATAATCCTAACTTGTTACTTGACTCTCTCTCATCATTTGGGCCAACTCCAAATACGGAAGGCTAAAATGCTTCTGTGAATCTTTCCGGATCCCGGAAAAAGTGGATAACCATGATTGTCACCACTTGTCCCCTTTGTTTAAATATATATATATATATATATATATATATATATATATAACCAGTTCATATCTAAATATTTGTTAATATTTTAAAAATAAAACAATTGAAGGAGGGGTGGTTTCCAGCCGGCACCTCCCACCCACCCATGGGTTAGCCTCCATTACACTTGACTCTCCACCTCCTGGACTTCCATGACGATTGGATACGGGGCTCATGGATATGGAAAAAAAGGCTGTTGAATTATTTGATGAGAGACCTGATCATATCGTGTTTATGGCAGTTCCTAGTGCTTGCGGTCACACCGGCCTTGTTGACGACGGCTTGAGATATTTCGAATCAGCAGGTGACTACAAAGTTACTCCAGATCAGGACATTTAAGGGTGTGTGGTGGATTTGCTACGTCGTGCCGGAAGAGTTGAGGAGGCTGATGAACTAATTGAGAGCATGCCATTTAAGCCGGATGAGTCTGGGGTGCACTTCTCGGAAGCACACGTACGAGATTCCGCATTTGGGAAAGGTGGCTGCTCGGAGGAAATTACAGTTGACGCCGAATTTGGTTGGCACATATGTGGTGCTGTCAAATATTTATGCAGCTGAAGGCAAATGGGGGAGTTCGCAAATATGAGGAAGACGATGAAACCAAACTCTTCTTCAATCCCGCCAATCTTCATCCACTTAAATATTGACACGTTGACATAAAACAATGGTATTTATTAAGAAAACTACCGAAAAGTCAAAAAAAAAAAATTAGTTTTAATGAAAAATGACAAATAAAAGTGCAGTGAATAGTACAAAAAAAAAAAGTGGTTTTTCGTTAAAAGTGAATAGTACCGGTAATGTTTCATTAAAATTCTCTATTTATTAATCAAACTTCATTCAAATTCATATCGATGAACTTGTAAAGCTTATATGAAATCAATGTTCTTTCTACTCCGGTTTTAGACATCTTAGTATATAGTTTCAAAATCAGTCCTTTTACAAATCCTCTATTTAGTTTTGTATCATTCCAAATACGAGTAGCAAACTTGTTATCTTAAAGGGTTTCAACAAGTGACATGATTTTTTTAACGGGTAACAAGTGACCCGATTCTTTAACAAGTTATGTCATTTTGTATCCGATTAATGTGTTATATAAGAAACTATCATGATTAATATCTAGATCTAGCAAACTATATATTATTAGTGACTCGATAGTGACTTAACTCGTCAACATGTGATCCGAAAACAATCGACTTGTTAACAAATTAATTTAAAACTTATTATTTCGTCTCGAGTTAACCAATCGTGTAAGAAACGGTCAAGGTGAAGTGTACCCATGCAAGACAAGTTATTTATCCCAAACTTGGCATTGTATATGAAGCTGAAAGTGAGAAGGCAACAGAAAAGGCAAAAAAGTGAAAGGCTTAACACTGCCTTTTTCCTACTCTCTGAAATTAAGCCATCAACCCCCAAAGGGAACCCAGAATGCCTCGGAAGCGCAGAGACAATCCCGACCCGAATTTCGACACCCGATCCCCCGGCAAGAAACGGGCGGCTCCTCTGGAGGAAAATGGAGGAGAGGTTAGAAAATCCTTTCAGTTCTGATTTTTTTTTCTTTTTCTGTAGAGTTATTTTCTGGGTTATGCTGCATGCTGGTATCATCTGTTTGGTTTGAAAGAAAAAGGCCCAAAATAATGTAATTTCCTTTTGTTTGTTGGAAACTGAGTGGCAACTCAAACGTTTTGTTCCCTTCTTTCATTGTTTCCGGAGTTCTTATTTTAATTTGTATAATTATATCTTGAAGTTTGAGTGTATATGATTTTTCAGTTTTTTTATGGATCAATTGTAAAAAAATAAAAGATGAAAAATTTAAGCAAAATGTATGTATATATAGCTAGAAATAAGTGGGATTCCGGTTCTTGAGCTCTAGTTTGATCAAATGTAGTAATGTGTGGGTAAAAGATTGCAAGGGATTTCTTGAATTGTGATCACTGAGTAGCAGTGTAGCACCCAAGCACCATGCACCCGATTTCGAATCTTCCTCCCATGGATTAGGATTAGACTAGTTTATAGTATTGCCTTGTCAAAAAGAAAAAGAATTGAGGTTTCGATTATTTGCTACATTAAAAACTTTTCGTCTTAATAAAATGGCGAGTGGTGTCTAGAGGTTTTAAGATTTGAAGCTTCAGTACACCAATTTGGATGGTTATGAGTCGAAAGAGTAAATAGAATGATAAAAGTTTCGTTCTTTGGTGGATTTTCAATGCCAATTTTGGTCTGCTAGCCTTTAGCTGTAAAAGAGAGTCGATTTTATGGGGGGCGTTATTTTTTTACTGGTGGCCGTTTTCTATCTCATTTGTGTTTAGTTCACAATTGACGTATTAAGATTTTTGAATTGCAGAAAGTGCCAATTGTAACTCACAAGAAATTTACCAAGGGAATGCCGGTTGAGGTTTGCAGTGATGAAGATGGTTTCCATGGTGCTTGGTTTGCTGCAACCATAGTGGAAGCAGTGGGGAATGAAAAGTTCCTCATTGAGTACCAAAGCCTGAGGACCGAAGATAATTCAGCGTTTCTGAGAGAAGAGATTGATACCCTGCACATACGACCTAATCCGCCGGAAACTGCTGTTGAGCATTTCAGTTTGCTTGAAGAGGTTGATGCTTTGTACAATGATGGCTGGTGGGTGGGTGTGATCTCGAAAGTTCTTAGCGGTTCAAGGTACATAGTCTACTTCAGGAGCACCTACGAAGAAATCGAGTTTCAGCAATCTGAGTTGAGGCTTCATCAGGACTGGATTGGTGGAAAATGGGTTATGTCTTCTCGGGTATGAATCTATCCCTATCTATTTTCAGCCAATACTCTTATTGCCGAGAGAAACTTACATTGTGGATGCTACTCTAGCGGTATATGAAGCCAATCAACACTTCTACCCTTTTTAACCTTCCTACATGACAGTGTGTGATTGCTTGAGAAACTGCCTTAGTAGCATCCCCATTGCATGGAAGATCTTCTCCTTATTGATACCAGAGTTTTACGTTGTTTGGTTGTTTAATGGGTTGTCTGCAGAACTGAATCCTGCCCTCAGTGGCCTGGCAACTGAGCTGCACGGACACTCCAATATACTGCCATGTCAAGTGTCGGGCATGCAGAAGGACACAACCCAAGTAGGATACAGAAAAATATGTGTCCGACATGCCACGTGGAGTGTCCTAGTTTGTAGAAATTTTTTGTGTCTTCGTGTTGTGTCATGTCATATCCTGCTTTTGTGCAACTTAACCAGCCAAGCCATGTGCAATGTTTCTTGACATTGAAGTTTAACCACTTCCCAATATCTAGGGGAAATAGTAATATAGATCATAAAACTTGGAAAGTGCTTTAGAATCTCATTAGTTTCTCAAGTTCTTTACTAACCGTTTTACATGAGATCCGCTTTATTGGAGAGTCCATGTGGATCCTCCCTTCTCTTGTGGAGTAGAATTTCCTGCACCTAGAGATGCCACATCAGCGGTATCTCAAGCTAATTGCACTGCCATGTGGTTTGACTCTCACATGACAGTGCGTGATTGGGTTAGGAAACTACCGCCGTGGCATCCCAGGTGTAGCTACGTTTCTCACCCTCATGTGAATCAGTAAGAGATTTGGGAAAATGGTTGAGTTCTACTTCTGTAGCATCTTCCAAAACACTTTTACCAACCTGAAGATTATAAGAAAGTGAAGGCACATGTCCACAGTTATCACACTACATTTTTAGCTAAACAAACTGTGGTCCAGGTCTCAAAGTTTTGCTCCTATACTAATTTTTTTCAAGGAAAGTGATGTATTGTTACTGAAAAATAGAAGGAAATGCATGATATTTAAAAGCCTAACTTCAATAAGCGTGCATGAAAGCTGGTTCAAACTTACCCTATCATTCGATGTTTCGAGCTAAGTGATGCATCACATCCCTGTTTCCATTATGTACATCATATTGATCCCCATTTTAGCTAAACTTGGAGCCCTTTACCTAAATATCAATATTTAAGAGATGCAGCTCCATCTTCCAGCTGAAAACTGCTCCATCTTTCATGGGTGCGGTTTCAGCGTCAAATGCTGATGATAGTAATGGCTGAGTATGAGTACGGTCAAATATATATATTTGTCGTTGGATCTTTGATTAATTGTTGGCTGATTGTGTATTTTTGACAGGCTTTAAAGTTGTGATTAGTAATCACTAATCGCTGATTAAGGGTGAAAACGAAAGATTTCCTGAGACTAGTTGGAGAATCAGCTACTAAATGGTTCCTTGGTTGTTGATTGCATTCCATCTCAAGACCTTGACTTGTTATATATGGTAGTGGAGGTTAGGTTTCCTGTCTTATGCCTAAACATTTGTATTATCCAGTGATCATTTTGCCTCAAGAAAGTTAATATTAGACCTTCTAATCAAGCAACCTTGAACTTGCTCCAATCAATCGACCTTGAACTTGTGAAACCATAGTCGGAAATGTAAAATATTTTTACCGGCTATTGGAATTCGGCAGAATGTATTTTCCGTTTACCGGATCAGTTGCTCTAGCTTTGTTTTTTGCATTTGAGAATGGCTTGTTGTTGCCTCTTTGTCGTTTTTATTACAAGCAGTATGACTACTATAAGTTGCACTAAGAGGAGCGGGGAGAGTTTGAAACTGGGACACAATAGCTGGAAAATGAATGACTTATCCGAATGCCCTATCCACCAAGACAATCCACGACTTGTTGCATCCTTGTTTTTAACTTTTGTGGCAAGTGTTGAGTCGGTTGGAACCTTCCTTTATTGTGGTTATGCATGTCTGCATATGAATTTATTGAACTGCAATTTGGTACCAGCCATTAAATGGGTAACTGGCTAAAGGAAAAGTGGTTTTTTTTTTTAATCACAAAAGGTTAAGGGGTTAAGTCAACAGAATTACTCCTTTCAGTATTTTTGCAAGCAGTTTCTACTTGGGAAAGTTTTCACTTTAATGGTTGTTAACTTAACTTTTGATTATGCTAATTAATTAGCAAAACAACAACAAAGTTTTATCTCACCAAGTGAGGTCGGTTGTATGTATCTTAAAACATCATTGCACTTTATTTTGGGTCAAGTATTCTGTTAACTTCAAGTTCTCATATCTTTTCTTAAAATCTCTTTCCAAGTCCTTTTAGGTTTTCCTTTATCCTTTTTAACTTGAGCTTCTATCTTCTAATCGGAACATATGTAAGCTTTCGATTCACATGTCCATAAAGCATCTGGTTGTTGAGCATGGAATAAATAGAGATATGCGGAAATCATTTCTCTCCTTTAAAAGTGACTTGGCCATAAAGTTGAAGCAGTAGGCATTTACTTTCAAGAATTCTTTCATTAATACCAATAATAAAAAGGAAGGAAATAAAACCAATAATAATAAACAAAAGAATGCATTGGCAATGCAATTTCATAACAACACCATTATCATTGTGCCTGGTGAGGTCAATTGACAAAACACCATTATCTTTGTGCATGGTGAGGTCAATTGATGAAAGAGAGTGCGTCGCAAGGCAGTGTACATCGTTGGGTCAGTTGATCAAAACAACGTGCATCGTGGGATCAATTGATTAAAACTCAAAACAACGTGCATCGTGGGATCAATTGATTAAAACAGTACGCCACTGCACCCAAATTGCAAGTATAATTTGAACAAATTAGAACAATTTAAAATCGTATTAAAACACTAAAACTTCATGTGATCAAACTCAATAAAACAAAGAAATTGTTCATAGAAAAACACTAAATTTCATTTCATTACTATTAAAAGGACTTCCATGCAAACAAGAACAACATAACCACAACAAAAAAAATGCAAGAAATCCTACAAATCCCAAAGACCCAAAAGCCTTCCCATTCAGCTACAAATTCTTGCACTCATCATCTTCCACCTCATCCCTCACTCAAACCTCCACAACTCCCTTGGCCTCCTCCTTCACCTCCTTCTTCTCCTTCCCATCCTTCACACAAGCACTTCCCTCAACCTCAAAAGCACTTACAGGAAAAGTCCTAAACAAACCAGAAGGGGTCTTGAAGGTGATCTTCCCAGTTGGAGGGTCATCAGTGTAAATGTCACTCAGCTGCACCCAAACCAAAAGCTCCTTGGTCTTCACCCCTGTCAGCTTCTTGATCTTGCCCTTCTCAACAATGGCCGTGACCTCAGGGGCATAGGTGACCAACTTGCCAATCTTCTCAAACTTGTGGGTGCAGCTCTTCTTTTGCTTGAGCCACACAAAGCCGGTTTCTCTCACGATCCCGCACTCCTCAATGTCCTTGAGGGGCAAAAGGCCGTTGGGGAGGGAGATTTCTGAGAGAAGCTCCTTTGTTTTCTGTTGGCAGATTTCATCTCCATGGTACAGTTCATCTGCCTTGGACTTGATCTCTGCTGTGATGAGAGAAGACATTTTGGTTTTTTGATCTGCTTCTTTTCAATTTCTGGAGGTTTTTTTTGGCTTTTCTGGGAAGTGAAAAATGTGTGGGTGTGGATATTGAAATGGGAAGTGATGGGGTTTATGTAGTTGTGGAGGTGATACTTTGCCCTTGTAGGTTGTTTAAACTACCAAAATGCCATTCGAGTTTCGCCCTTGCATGTCTTCAGTATTTGCAAGACGTACCATTTCATTGTTGGGGGCAAATTGCAGATTAGCAGCCCACACGTTGGTTCTAAGTTCAATTCACGGGGTTTGTGAATTATACGATGATGACAAGGAAAAATTGAAAGGATTCTGAATTTTTTATGTTAATTATTTACAAATATTTTGGTAAATGTTCATGTATAACAAGTTGCACCACTATATCAGGGTAATCACAAGTCAATTAAGTATCAAACTCACAACTATAATTTGTTTACTTATTTGAGATGTGTATGTTACGTTTGAGTATCATTTTGATTATTGATGAATCTTGCAATCATAAAATAAGTGGGCCTCACATTAAATCCGATTATCACATACATGAACAAGTAAATATCAAATCATCGAAAAAGTGTATATCTCACATCTGAACAATCAGATATCAATTTAATTCATAATATATTTCCTAGGTATGATGACATTTCTAGAAAAGAAAGGTACATCTAAAAATGTCATCTTACACTCCTTTCCATTCGAATTTCTCTAATAACGACTCCCAGAGACAACTATCACCAAAACCAAAAGATAATTGAGTTGAATTAAGACAAAACCAACTTAATTCAATAAACATGGGCAGCCCGTAATTTAGGTGAAGGGTAGGGGCATTGAGGACCCCATGAATGCACACATTTATGGTACAGTTGGGAGGAGTTACGGTGAAATTACTAACAAATCTCCACGTGTGTTGTGGTTGGGGAACGATAACCTACACCACCTCACCTACATTCCCTTTAACTCACGGTCCCTCACCCTCACCTTCTTTGGGATGTGCTATCCACACATCCTATTTTACTTCTCACACGCCCTTGATAATTTATGTATGTTGATCTTCTTCAATTTATACGATCCGACAGTCGAAAATTAAGAAAATATGTTAGAAGTAAAATGGGGTGTGTGAATATCACATCCCACCTCCTTTTACTTCAATTTTGCTGCTACCTCCCGTCCAACCAATTCCTCAGCTGACATGTAAAGAGCTAAAGATTAGTATGTATAACAAAAATTGGGGGAAGAATTGTAATAGTTTGAAAAGTGCTTTTAAATAGTTGAAAATACTTTTAGAAATTTTTTTTTTTAGTTTTAAAAGCACTTAATGTGCTTCCTGCAAATTTTGCTGCTACCTCCCATCCAACCAATTCCTCACTTGACATGTAAAGAGCTAAAGATTAGTATATATAACAAAAATTGGGGGAAGAACTATAATAGTTTGAAAAGTGCTTTTAAATGATTGAAAATACTTTTAGAAAAAATGTTTTTGAGTTTTAGAAGCACTTGATGTGCTTCCTGCAAATTTTGCTGCTACCTCCCATCCAACCAATTCCTCATTTGACATGTAAAGAGCTAAAGATTATTATATATAACAAAAATTGAGGCGAGAAATGTTATAGTTTGAGAAGTGCTTTTAAAGAACTAAAATTGCTTTTAGAGAAAAGGTTTTTAAGTTTTAGAAGAACTTGATGTGCTTCCTATAAGAAGCAGATTAACTTGCGCTTTTACTAAGATTGGTTTCAAAAACATTTTCTTTAAAAACATTTTTAGTTATTTAAAAGCACTTTCTGAACGAGACCGTAGTTTACATGCATCTACTAATATAGCACATCTAGATTTTTTTTCAATATTGGGATATAAATTTTTCTTAGATTAAATTTTTTCTGAACAGGAAATTTGAATTTAAATTCAGAGAGATAAAACACAGTAACTATAATCAATCTGGATATGCTCACGTTTGACACTAGACTAAGAATTAGTCGGTGAAGATCCAAAATTGGGGCAACTTAGTGAAATTTACAATCTATTCCATGAGGAAGAGGTCTGCAAATTCCACATTTTGTAAAATTATTACTTAATCAAAACTTTGGAGAAACTTGTAAACTTGGTTTACCCAAAAGGGTCAATGCCCCATCTCTATACATTTTCTTAGCCTACACGGTTTCTTCTTTTAAGTTAATTCACGGCCTAGGATGTTCCAATGATATGTGTTAAGTTTTCTTAATTTGTAAGATTTTATTTTTGGAAGTTTTGGCATATTTTGTAATTTCGAATCCGTTTCACGTTACATTTTGTTTGAAGCACACATTTTCGCTATTTTGATGGGACTTAGTTCAAATCTCAAAGACAACATTCGTTCGGAAAAACAAACAAACAAACAAGCAAATCTTGTTTCTAGCTTGACTATAGGAGAAATGTAAATGATATTGTGTAATATACTACGTAGAGTGCTATTTACACACTTATTTTTACCTCTCATATTCACTTGTTAATTTTTTATCATTGATTTTCTTTGGATAGAAAAGTCGGGTCCAAGGAAGTCGATAGACAAATAAAGAAAATGTACTCTACTGAGTTCTTAAAAGTTTAAAGGAAGATTGGTTACTCTTACTAGTCACTACCACCGCTAGAGTATGACCACAATCTTGAGCCGGAAAAAATGCATTTTACTAGTTGGTTATTATTTTATAATTCAATCATGTTGGATCCATGAACCTGCTGTTATGAAGGGCATGAGTTAAAAATCACATCAAGAAAATGTTATCATCATTCACGGAAAGTTTGGTAAAGATAACGCTTTTCATTCTTTTTATTGTCAAAACATTTATACTTTAAATTGAATATTTTATAAATATTTTTTAGAAAGAAAGACAATTTTATCGTATGTTCTCGAAGTGAGAGATTTTTTAGTGTCCCTGGAACAAGGGGTGGAACAATATACGTAATTATACAATTAGAGATGCACTTAAAAAAAAAAATCTCCAATTTTATAATAACAAGTAGCATATCACTCCGTATTCCGAGTATACTGAAAAATCTCTCACTCGAAGGGACGAGAAATGAGGACAATGGAGAAGAAATTTTTTAATATGGACTGATTGCTTATAATCATGGTCTCACAACATAAATTAGCCCTCATCATCTAAAATTGCACTAACTTTCCAGTAAATAATAAGAATTACTAGTAAATTTGAGCGTATCCAAATTTGCTAGAGTAACAGACGACCTATCCACTTGTATTCAAGTTTTATCCCTTTTCTCTCTACCTATGCCTCGTAACGGGCGAACCAAAGCCAATAAAATTTCTCATTTTACAAGAGTTACAAAAAAAAAAGCGTTTATCGTTCACAATCTTATTCTTACTTTAAGACCATTGTCTCGTAATTTAGATTAAATTAAAATATCGCTATCTAAAAAACACCTAGTGCAACCATCAATAGAGCATAAAAGTCTAAAGCCCAAACTATATTATAGTTGGCTGTTGTGCTAATCCATTTAAATGCACATTGAATGAATTGGACAATTGCTTTCAATCAATGAACTTTTCACTTGGTCAACTCCTCCATGCAACTTTTATTGAAAACGAGTGGGACATAAAGATTTGGAATTAGGTTTGGCATGTGCCATAAAGATTTATGCATTGAATTCCAACCCAAACAATATATAGCTGGTAGCATTATTGGTTCAAGCAAATGCAAATTACGCGAGTTGATTAGGGGAATATGCCTGTCATCTTACACGCAAGTTTGAATTCTTTGCTCTTCAGTAAATTATAGTAGTTTAGAAAATCACTTTGTCATCAGTAAAAATACAAGCGCACGTCAAAGTTATTACGGAGAGGAGCAACTGTCATCATTAGCAGTTTGGAAGCAAAACTTGTTTTGTAGACCAAATGGATACAATACGATCTACAACGCCGTCTACGAATGAAGTATGGACATAATAACATACGCCGTACGTTGAATCACCCAATGTTTATACCATTCTTGGCAATTACATACAGAAATGATAGTAACAGAACGAAACGGAAACATATGTGGATTAAAAGTTTCGATACACAACAATTAAGTTATAAGCTCCTTGCATTTGAAACGAGATGAATGTCTCGGAAAGCACCTTACGAGTGAATTCCTCAAGTCTGTATTGGCTTTGTATAATTTACAAGGGAACATCAACTGGATGAAGCTCCCTCGGCAATGTGGTTCTCCATTACACTTCCATGGGGAAAGTTGTTTAGCAAGGATTCAATATGTTTAACTTCTTTCGGCATTGACCCAGTCAGAACCTGCCATGCACAAAAATGTCGTACTTGTTATGGATTTACATCTGCTCGAAGTGAATCAGATCGCCAATCGATAATTACTGCATTGTTAACCTCGAACAAACCAGAGGATAAACACAGGGATGGGCTAGGAACATGATAATCCACCCTCCTAGTTCTTTAGCAAGTACAAAAAGATCGAAGATACAGAATGTCTGCAGCTACTTGGAAGACAACTATGGCAAAGAGAAAGAATCCTCTCGGAAAGGCCTTGGTCATAGACAATGGATATAATATACACCTCCTAACTAATCCCTCTACGAAATCATAATCCAATTCATATGGCTACTCAAAGAGGCATTAATAAAACAGAAAATCGAGAAAATAGGACAATCAAACGAGACTAGGGGGTCCAATCCTACCCAGATTATTAACATTAAACAGAAATCATAACAAGTTAAAAATTAATGCCAGTTACCAATTTCTCTTCTTAATCGAACGACAAAGATCAGCTTACAAGAATCGGACCAAATAAGGAAAAAAAATCAATGCCATAATTGAATACCAAGACCCTACTGCATAAAGATGAAATATAGTTCATGCAAACAATTTGAGTTCGGTCATGGTGAAATTCAAAGCTGCAAACATTAAGGATAACACTAGAATTGAATTTTAGATAACGTAAGGCTCAGAATGACCATATAGTGCATATGAACCGATTAAAAGTTATACCTCATAACCCGTGTCTGTAATGAGGACCTCATCCTCAATCCTTATCCCGATGCCTCGGTACCTGCATCATATATCTCCAATACATCAATTTGTGTATGATAACATTTAAAGCATGAAGGTTGGAAGACATGGTAACATGATAAATTCCCCATGTATGAGGTGAGTGAAAAGCTTCACATTCAAATTCACCACTGCAGAGCAGTAGAGCAGAAAAGTTAAATGTATGATGTTTGCGCACTGAGCTTGTCCAATTAACAACTTTTTCTGGGATGGACTGGTCAATTGAGCCTCTTTGAGATCAACCGCTTGTTCATTGTGTATAAGCGTAACTCATGGGCCTAACTTGTACGGAATCTGATTTTTAGCATTTAAAAGTTGGAAAAAGCAATTATTTCGTCGACAAAACCATGCCCATAAAAACCTTTCAGGACAGTTAGAAGACAATGGGATGTAGATTCCTGGTTCAATTGTTATGACCTGCACAAACAAAACAATTTGGTCAAAAATTCATGTTTACAATGAATGACACATTCAATTTGCAAATATTTAGCCGCAGCTTTTATGCATACAATTGGAGAAAGGCACGCTTACAATTTGAGAAACTAAGAAGGAAGAGAAGTTCTTGTTCTTAAACAAGGGAGAGAACTTACAACGCCTGGCTTCAACGGACGGTCATAACCAACCGTAGAACAATCATGGACATCCATTCCCAGATAGTGGCCTGGACAACAGAAGAGAAAATTTATCAATCAAAAAATGTTTTGGTGGCACATATCATCATGATTGACCAACTTAAACATTGACAACTTAAATTACTTGAAATATCTTTGTTCGGAACTTAGGATCTAAAATAATGTTATATACCAAGTCAGTTGTACGTAACATCTTGACTAGCCAATTCAGAGTTAGACAAATGAAGAACGTATCTTCATTCATGCCCTATAGCAAAACAACAAACTGAAATTTTTGTTTAGCAATGAAGGGAGAAACCTATGGAAGTTGGATTCAGCTGATGGTAGGAACTGCTTCTAGAATCTTTCAGAATTCCAATCTCCTTGAGTCCCTTGTGAAGCATTTCAACCTACACATGAAAGAGTGATTGCGGTACGATAAGGGTCTTGTTGATTATGTGAGGGGGCAATAAATAGATATTTCAGGTGAAATAAACAGACAAAGAACAGCTTCACTCAAAGGAACATACTGAAAAGTTGTGTATTTCTCGAATGCTAGCACCGGGTTTGCAAAGCTCCACACATGTCTTGTTTGTTTGCAGAATAAGATCATAGAGCTCTTCCTGAAATATAGACCGAACCTCTCATGGATAAGCTTCATTAATCAATAATATGCTACAATGCAATAACAGAACTAAAAAGTAAGACAAAGTTGGAGAGTTCAAATACAATCTAAGAAGATAAACTGAAAGCTGTGGCCAAGTTTTGGCTCCTACCGATAAGACATCGGTGGAAAAATGCTTTGATGTTGTGTTCAAGGAGATGGATATAAATAATATATATTAGATCTTCTAACCAGCAACCGTTTGATCTATAGCACATCTCTGTTCTAAGGAGATGGACGAAAATGATGGCAAACAATAAAATATGCACAAGTAGCCTAACTGGGTGGGTTTGAATTCTTAGTGCGCAGCTCCTGCAAGATTATATCTAAATATAAGACATGTGACCGTTTAAGTGAAACAAACTTTGTAACAGCATTAACAGATGTTCCACAATGTCCTGGACAAGCTAGAAGCATTTAGCCACCATTACCTGAGCTGAAGAGAAGCTGCCATAGGGTGGCCAGGTGCGAGTAAGATCACTGACATAACCATGAAGCTCGCAACCAACATCCATCAAGACAAGTTCCCCATCTTTTATCTGCAAAAGATTGTAGATACACCTTTGTATGAATAAATGCTTATGGTCTACACAAAATAAATAATATTTCTGCTCTAACGTTATATATTGTGACCACAAAAAGTAGATAGTAGATTTGATATTTAGCTCACTTTCTGATCATTCCGAGCATAATGTATTACACTAGCATTGGGCCCGCCACCAACCACAGGATTGAATCTGGTAACAGAGAAAGAAATCATAAATCCTTACGATATTTGAAGGACACTGAAGAACATCTATCAAACAATAGCATGAAAATCTAAATTTCGATTTCAATCTTTTGTCATTCCCCCACACATTTTCAAGTGTAAAAAGTGGATATAATCAATAAATTGCATTTGTCATATCCGATCATCCAGAAAGGGAAAATGCTTACGCCATTCTCTGGGCACCCCTCATTTTGCATTCATATTCAATCTTAGCTGCTAGCCTACCCTCATAAGGGTGTGTCTTTGAGTGAAACATTGTCTGCAGTAGAGCCTGTCCAAGACCAATATTTATATCGGTTAATATAAGTCAGGGAATAAGCCAATGAACATTAAATTTTAACCTTATTCAGAGATATCGAACAATTGTGAACTTGTTCAAAAGCTACGACATGAGTTACAAGTAGAACTTTTAAACTCCAACTGTAATACCCCAACTGAGTTCATAGATACAGGATTGTGTAATGATATATGATACTGTAGGAGATATGGGCTCATGAAATGAATAGCAATACAATAGATTTGGAAGTACTTGGCAAGCAATTGATGCTGACTCTCTCATTAACTTAAGCTCTGCCGGTGACTTTATTAACCGTAACTCATGGGTGAAAACCGAAGAATCTTTCACTTTTCCAGAGTAAGCTGCTTTCTGAAATGGATCCAATTCCATATACGTTGGTACAGCCGTCTGCACATTGTGGAACATTTCGGACGATCCCTTCATAATATCTGGCAGGATCTGCAGTCAGTAAAAGAAAACGCAATGTATATATAATGATAGCATGCATAATAAAGGAAGTCCAGTAGCTGTACACCACCACTTTTGAAAAAATAAGATTGTTTTCACGCATAACAAGGTTAGAGGACAGTTTAAGGGCATAAATACTCGTCATCCCACAAATGCCCAGCAGTAAGAAGTTCAAATTTTAAAAATTAATTCAGGATGGAGTTGTTTTGGGTAAACAAGTTAACATTTTAGTACAGCTACGACAATGTTATATTCATTTTTATCAGTGGCAGTATTTTCATTATAACGATACTGATTACATGAAATCTCTATGTAGTTGATTTTAAGAAATATTACAAAAAGGGTATGGTTAATCCTCACTGTTACGGAAATGAATACAAGTATATATTCAATAAATTACTCGGCAGCACTCAAATTCTTTGTTATTAATTGGAGTGTTTCTTCAATTTTCAAATTGTCAGAGTATTCAACTCACCTGCCGTAATCTGTTCATTGGGTATGCTTTATTAGCCTTGAATACTTCCAGTGCTGCATGAACTCCCGCAACTTCCCCTTGCCAAATAACGTCCTAACCAAAGAAAAACCCAGAAAATATTAAATTGTTTATTGAATTTATCTATAGCTTAATCATTGTAAAATAGGTAGCAGCAACTACTAAACTATATACGCAGATTGCAGCCTTGCCAAAATGACATTGCAGCCTTGCCAAATGACAACTTTGTCAGCCACTCTACAAGAACAGTAGCAACATCATACATGCATTTTTCCGAATAACATTTCAAATTAAAAATTCTTCCTTGAACACCAAAACTAAAATAAAGATACTATTTGATGTGTGATTATAATTCTAACTACATGGCTCAAGTTGCTACTTTTTTCGTAAGCATATCAAATTTCAAGTCTTTTTCTTATAAGTGTTTGAAACCGCTACTCTATATGACGATAATAACACAAATGTGAAGCCACCACAATACAAACCATGTAAGATAGAACATAGTGTTAAATATTATCAAGGGCTGGGCATACATGAGTCGTTGCTTCTGGCATGAACATGCAAAAACCGCATTCACGACCCAAAACTGCCACGCCACCAGGCTGTTGGCAGCCAGTAATATACAAGTAATCAGCATCTTGACGATAGGTATAAGGCACGACATCGGTCATCATCTTTACAGGGGCAGCTGCAAAAATGGCCAAACCCTTCTCCGGGAGCGCATCCAACAACTTTTTTCTTCTCAATTCGTATTCCTCCGAAGTTATCCCGGGTGTAATCTCTCCTTCCACCAACAACTGTAACGCCATACAACATTTATAACCAAATAATGTATATCGAACAATGAATGCTACGATGAACAGGCGTGAAGAATCAGCAGTACCTGTGGATGAGATGCAGCAGTTGGCTGTCCAACATCAACAATCTTCTTCGTTGAATATGCGCGGCGTCCAATCGCCTGTAAATCCGAATCATAAAACACCAAATGCAGCATTACTTCAGTTTTATTAATTCAATGATCATTTGAGCAACACCCACATGGAAATTTCGAAACAAAAGATTACGCAAACCAAAAAAAACAGCAGAACCAAAAGAATTAAGTTAAAGAACCCATTTTTATCATCAAAATTCAATAAAATTTAGGCCTTCGAATCACCATTTCATAATCTTCAACTCAACAAAAATTGGATGATCTGGACTCAAATTGACAATTTGAGAAGTACCCATTTGATAATTCAGCTTGAAAAATCAAATAAACATATTAAAATACATAACAGAAGTTTTTGATTGTATTGAAAGTGGAAGGTGAAGTACCTGTTTCAGTGGCATCTTCTGCAGAAGTCTTCCTAAAACAATCCTCATTCTTTTTTTTCTTTTTTTTGTCAAACCTTAAACCCCACAAAAATCAAAAGCTAGAGTATTTTGTTTGTTTGGATTGAAGATGCAAAAATCCTCGTGCTCCAGAATTCAGAAATTCTCCGTATTAGGGTTTAAGATTTTCATAGCAGTTTGGGGGTTTTAGGGAAGACACTGAAATTACAAAAATGCCGCTACTTGTTGGGGCTTCATTTTCCTTAAGATTTGGGCCTCATTTGTTCAATGGACCATTTGGGCCTTTGAATGAGGTTTTCAGACAATGTAAATCATTTTCGGTTTTTCAGGCCCCATTTGTTTTTGTCTGTACTCTCCTTTTGTTCCTGTCTCTTAAATATATATATATATATATTTTTTTTTTCTTTTTTTCGAAAACTTTAACGAAAAATCGTATTTTTATATTAAAAATTTAATCTTGATACTATTCACTTTACCCTTTATTTTATCTTTATCGTTAAAACTTAAAGTTTTCAAACCCTTTTCATTCGTTTTTTTTTTCACTCCTTTAATCTAATAAATTAAATGAAAAAATAAATATAAACATATTGAGGAGAAAAAAGAGTAGAAAATAAATATCACCTCTCTTCCAACAAAAATGCTAAATAAATTGATGACACTTCAAGAATTCAATTGTGCACTTCAAACTTTTATAGCAACAATAAGTCTTATTCTACTAAGTGGATCTGCTGTTTAATGCATCATATAACGTTACTGTGCTCGATTTTGCACTTAATCTTTCGTTAGCTCAAAGTACTCAATTGCCTCTTGTTATGGATCTTCTGAAGCCTTATTGCACTTCTTTTGTCTTAAGTGTTCGTCTCATACTTGCATTTTTTTATAGTCAAAAAGAAAAATACTCTTACGATATTTCGGTGTGACATAATAGTTGGCAATAAAATATCAAGGAGAATTTTATATTTAACAATGAAACTTACTAGAAGGATTGACTTTAGGATGTAAGTAGGGACAACAAGATATGCAATCAGATAGAGAGACAGGATGCTTTGTTTTTTGTTTAATATAAAAAGATACTCAAACCATAATCTTATCTTAATCGCCAAAGTAATATATAGCACTTTTCCTTTATTTTTGTTCAAAGAATGCATGCACAAAGCGCATAATTAGTCCCTCTCATTAAATTAATTAACGACCCAATGAGTCATTAGTTTTCTTTTAAGGTCAAGTCCAGCTCAACTTCGCGTTATTTTTTTTTTATTTTTTATTTTTTTGAATATATCGATATTTTTATATTAAGAAAATATAGAATTTGGTTAAGTCACACAATAGACAATCTAATTTGGTATCGAATTTGTTATCTACGAGATTCAAACCTAAGACCTCTTATTTCTAAATGAAGAGAAATAATACCAAACTGTAATACTGAATTGCTCAACTCCACGTTAAGTCACATTCAATCGTTGAATTTGAGTTCTATTCCAAAATCGAGATGAGAAGGCAATTGTCACAAGAAAGTGATTTTGGTATGTTTCAATATGGGGAAAATAAAGACCGAGACTATTGACTAGTTTGTTCATTCATCGAACTTGGAAATATGGTGATTAGCGTTACAAACTGTACCGTATACCAAGATTCTAAAAGACGTTAGGCACTAGTCAGGTGATGAGTTGGGGTCTAGCACTTAGGCGGTTAGGCAGGATCTAAGCGGACTAGGCGGATTTAACTAAATTCATTATATTTCATGTAAATAAATGTATGTTTATACTTAAAGTATTGCAACATAATGAAAATATGGGGAACAAGCATATAATGTGTGCTCATTTAAGTATTCGACAAGTCTCTTACAATTTATTAAAAAAAAATAAAATACAAAATGAAAGTTATTTATTTTCTGCCTAAGTGATTCGATACCTAGGCGGGTCTGGACAGGTGCCTAGGCAGGCGCCTCAGTAGGTCTATGAGACATTTCTTAATTTTCAAACGCCTAGGCATTAATCGAGACGATGATCAACAGCCTAGCGCCTAAGCGGCGCTAAGCGAAGATTTTTAGAACAGTGATACCAACTAGTTCATTTGTTTTTCAAATTTGAAATTAGGGCGATTAGCGTTACAAACAGGAATATACACCAAACCGTTCGCTCATTTATCGAACTTGAAACTAAGGCAATTAGCGTTACAAACCATATTAAGCAAGCTAACAAATGAAGATGATAACAATATAACAAGTGATGCATACAACATTCCTTCGTAACATATACACATTACGTACCACATTTGACATATACGCAATACAAACCACATCAAATATGATCTCTTTAATATGTTTCTGTCACGCATCTCGAGACTTCCAATTAAATGGTAAGGAGTAAAACAATGCAAAACTTAATATGCACAAAACTCTAATTCATTAAGCTGGACTAATGAAAGGTCAATACACCATAATTCCACTGCTAATCAAAAGAAATTAAATTAAGGGAACAAAACAAAACACTAATAACCAAAATTAATTAAAAAAACAGACACAGAGATACGTCATCGTGCACATCACCGCCCACGTGTCACATGATGGTTCGTCAAAGTCAAACGGATCTCTCCGCACACTCACATGACCTTCCACGACTCCAAGGTGGGAAAGCTCGCAAACGAGTCAAAACCTAATCCCCCAGACGCAACGCCACCGCTAGAAGCCACGTCGACGCCACCCGTCCCGCCAAAAGACACTGGGCCAGACCCGGTCAACGTCGTGTTGGGCCCATGCCAAGGCCCAGTAGCTATCCTCGTCGAAGTGGGCCCCATCAGCTGCTGATCATGATTGTGATGATCCAAAAGATACGCCGACGTATCGAGTGTCGGCATGCAGACGCCAACCCCTCCGGGCAACAGGCTACCGGGTCTGTGTGGCTCCGGCTTCAGAACCGACTGCATAGTGACCTGTCCGTTACCGAATCTGACTCCGGTCACCTGTTGCACCATCTGTCGGAAGTTGCTCGGGTCCGCGGTGATGAAAGTCGTCTGGGACCGTTTCGACGCGCGCGACTTCCGTTTCGAAACCTTACCACCGCCATGCGCCACCGGAATCACGCTTCTCTGCTGCTTTTTCAGCGGTGCGGCCACGGACTCGAGGTCGTCCGAGCCGGAAAGTCCAGAAACGGTGGGGGTGGGTGCTGTCTCGGGTGTTTGGAAGATGGTGTTGAGAAACGGCATGAACAAATCGTCAGAGGAAAAATCGAGCAGCTCCGGGTTGCTGGAGATGGACTTCTGGAGGGCCATGGTGAGGGTTTTGGTGTCACGAGCGAAGGCGTCGGAGATGCAGGAGTCCGCGAAGGTGTTGGGCCTGAAAGCCCACGGCTCCATCATGCTCCCCACGTCTTCCGACGACGCCATTAAAGCAGCTCAGTCAACTCAAATTCTCAAAAAAAATCGATTTTTCTGATTAAATTAAAAATTTTTGGAAATTGGGTTGTTGTGATATCAATCGGATTTCAAGATAATATTTTGAAAATTTAGAATTTTGGGAAATGGGTTTCCGCAAGGGATGAGAGGCGAGGAGAGTGAAGTGTGCTGCGGGAATTGACTGATTGGGAAGGACTTGGGGGGTTCTTATCGTTGATGAAGTAAGCGAAGCAGAGGAGAGAGAGAGAGACTGTGTAGGTGGTGGCGGCCCTGGAAGTGTTGAGAGGAGTAGCGAGGAAGAAGACGAGTGCATAAATAGGGCGGTGCGGAGAGAATTAAAAGGAGGAAGAAAACGCGTTGTTTGCGGTGACACGCGTCGTCTTATCCGTACGCATTTTTCTATATATAAACAAACAAGCTGCTCCTGCTCACCTTATAATTGAATAATAATTAAATTTATTTCAAATTTGCTCCCTCAACGTAAATGATATTTTCGTTTTGATCCTTTTGCTTTTAAAAGTTTCTTAAGCACGATATGATGACGTTAGTTACATAACCTGACAATGCTAGTGGTAGGCATACTTCAAGATTGTTTTTTCGTTGAAGAGAATCACAATGTCAAATATAGTGGCAACGGACTTTTTCTCAATAACACTAAATAAACATAGATTTTAATATTTTATCAACTATGAAGAAATTATAAAAAAGGAGAATGTTTTAAGCTATGTGTGTCGGTGGAAGAAGACGAACTACAATTTTTAGCTAATACTTGATAATGAGTTTCGTAAATTAGAGAAACACTGAAACCACCTTTCAATATTTCAATCATATCATTTGACCGTATCACTTGTACTCAATTTTCCAAGGTAAAAACTAATATTATGTTCCATCAATTTCAATTGATGACGAGAAATAATAACTCCAAACCAAAACGACCAATTTAAATTGGTTGTTTTGTTAGTCTTTTAGACAATAAACTTCAGTCAAGTAATTGAATTATCAAAATTCTCCTCACAAGATACTATTGTGCTAATTTGTCAACTCTAGTAACGAAAGTCATACCCTATCGTTCTTGATAGATTAATAACTTTACGATCAACTTGAGACCAAAGAAAGTTGGACGACCAAAGTGAAAAAAAGCACAAACGTTTAGGGGAAAAATAGAAAACTAACCCTAATAATTATGAAAAGCTTAGGGAAACGGTGGCAGCTAAATAACTCAACCATGGTTGTGGCTGTGGGTTGACTGGTCAGTGGTCCAGGTGGTGACTGCCCATTGGTTGGGAATCCTCAAGCAGTGAGATAGACAGAGAGAGAGTGACAGAGCGTACAGAATCTCTCTTATCTTTGAGAGATTGACGGTGCAGCCGCGTCATGCTGATCGACTTAACGCGTAAGCTCGCTTCCCAATTTTTTTCAATTTGTTTCCTTTCGATTGTTATTTCTTAAAAATTCTGCCCCCCTTCACTTTAACCTTTAAAACTCGATTGAAAGTAACTTGATGCTTCTTTTAAAAAGTATTATTTTTAGTATTTAAAAATATTTTCAATTATTTTAAAAGCATTTTAAAACAGGTTAGTGGTGTTTTATAGACTGACTTGCTCGTGATGAAAACCAGAGATCCTTATTGACACATATATAATTGTTCAAGAGAAAAATGAGAGTTTGAAAATCACGTTTTACAGAAAATGTGTAATGGGCCAACATTTAGAACCCTACTAAAAGAACCAACAAGACACACGAAGGCCTATTAAAGCCCAACTTCAAGCAAAAGAACAATTTCCATTAATTTGTCGCTTGAATTAGCTACTATTCTAAGAAAATGATAATTCAAAGCATTTGAAGGGAGATGAATTGATTTTTCAACGCTATTTTTAGCTTTTACTCACGCCTCCTTATTTCTAGACGGCGAATTGAATAAATAAAAAGATAACAACAGACATAATCAAAGAAAATAATATTTGATGCAAAGTACATGAAGTCCAAGAAAAATACATTTCACGTAAATTACATGAAGTCCAAGAAGAATACATTTCATGTAAATTACATGAAGTCACTCCATCTAACCACCTATGAAGAGAGTATGAATTGTGGCTATATATTAATCTATTTCAATTGATTTATTGTTCTCCAATTATATGTATCATCCTACTCTACTTGATTTGACTTAAGGTATTGGAGTAAACTAATTTTTATTTCCAGTGATTTTTATAGTGGCACTCGGATAACTTTCCCACCCGGCCTTACCTATGAGTCACAATGTTTGATTCCCTTTAACCATACTAAAATGGACATGAGGAATTAAATGCAAAAAAAGTATTATAACTGAGTTTCTCTGAAAAACAGCCGAAGCGTAGCCACCTGCAACTCATGGAACAACAAGGAGCCTTCTTTGCTCCAATAACTTCAACGTAAAGGGGATGATACTCCCAATTAAGGAAGTCATTCAACCATTAATCCTATAATTGAGGGATTATGTGCATTTACACATTTATAACAATTTATAATTTTAGGGGTATATTGGTATGAAAATAAAAATATGCTGATGTGTAATCCTAGTCATTGGACATATTTCATATAACTGAACTATTCGTGCCTCACGAAATTGAATCTATATCAAGTTTCTCTTTTTTTATAATTAGTACGTTGGTGGACAATTACAGGCCTAACGAAAATCTTACGACTTGGTTGGAAGCTCTATTCTTCTTGAACTCTACCCTTAAGTTGGACAAGATAGCAACAACCGTAGTTTATCCTCCTCTTCCAGCAACAGAGTCGTCATTCTTAGTGTTTACACTTGAATTATGATCATCTATGAAGAAAGATTTAAAACATCATCACACACAACAACAAACAACGTAAAGCATGCCTGAAAATAATAATCCTTGACGAAGATTATTATCTATAATTCTGGAGGATTAAGAAAGAGGCTGAAAATTTAAATGGCATTTGCGTTTCAACACTCACTCCAATTTAGCCGTTTCAAAACCAAAAGTATTATCTTCTTGAGTACCAACCGATGGAATCAAGACTCACGTGAATTATGGCGAATTAGATCATGTTAGGATTGGCTCTGACAATGGTATTACAACTTCGGAAGCATTGTCGGAAATCGAACTCTTTAATTTTTTTTTTCATGCCTACTTTGTATGGTCGGTGCTTGTTTGAAATGAGCATGCAAAATAGAAAAGTGAATGAAGTGTTTCTGAAAAATAAAAAACCAGAAAGAAAGAAGAAGGTAGAGGAATCTTGAATTAAGAAATGTTTTTTTAGCCAAAATGGTTCCTGAGATTTGCATAACTCATTACTTTGGTCACTGAGATTTAAAATCAATAGAAGTGGTCTCTGAGTTTGTCCATCATCAATCATTTTGGTCATTTCTTGAAAAATTATGTAAAATAATGACCAAATGACAAGAATACCCTCAATTTAATAAACAATGGGCCAAAATGATTGATAGTGGACAAACTCATGATCACTTATATTGATTTCAAATCTTAGGGACCAAAGTGAGGAGTCATGCAAATCTTAAGGATCAAAGTTAGAAGTCATGCAAATCTCAGGAACTATTTAGGCTAAAAAGCCATTAAGAAATGATAAGTCGCATATAACCAATTCCATGCATTGCTAGTTCGTTGTCTTGTGACGACGGCAACACTGTCCTCTGGGTTTCTGATATGGATGTAAAAATGTCAACAAGAACAAAGAGAGAGGCAGGTCAATATGAGTTAATTGATTTCAAACTTAATATATGTAAGAAGACCTGGTTTTTACATTTCTTCACCCCTCACACTTATTTCCAAATCTTAAAAAATATGTAAGTGCATGCAAAATGGAACGTTTCGAAAATCACTTCCACGGAAATGCATTATGGGTCTGCTGTAGCTCTTTGCAAAACAACAAAACAAACAAATTGTCACTTGACACGCACAACTGTTCTAAGCAAATGACAATTCAAGGCGATTGTCGCTCGGCGCATGATTGTCGTGCCCGCTGTGAGCCTTGGACGCTAAAGGTCGTTTGTCTCGCACCAATGGGTTTAGAGAAAGCAGCCGAGAAAGTCCTTAATCCGATCAGTATAAGGAGGGCAAGTGGGAATGATATGACCGGAGTCCTGTTCAATAAGTAGAGAGCAACCATCATCAAATAAAGAAGCCAGCTTACTGCTTCCTTGGTTTGCATTCTGCCCGTCTTTGCCACGCTCATTGCCAAATATGTGAAGCGATGGACATTTCAACATTTCAACATCGGAATTCTCTCTTGCTTATCCTCCTTCTCAGACTTTATTAGTTTTGTAAGCCCGAGGCCAGAGCGCAGAATCACAAATCTAAACTGCATTTCACCGGTGTTTAACGATCTCCTTTGTGTTTGATGGGCGCAAACTAGAGCAGCTGCCATGGCTGCTCCTTGAGAAAATCCCAACAGTCCATCAAAGGTCCCTCCTGAGCATACCTGTTTCGAAATGTGCAAATGGTTCATCAAACCCGGCTCTTTGCCGACGGTACTGTAGAGGATCAAATGGATTCTCTCCCATTTTCCATTTGAGGCGAGGGCTTAGCATCTGAATTTTGTAAATAGTCTCATGACCTTTCGATCTTGTTGCATTTTGTCTTCGGAATTTTCAATTTGATTAATTTTTTCCCTTCTCTAGTTAATATTGTCAATTTTGTTAAAATTTTTAGTTGGTTTCATCACACTTAATGTACACATAACCAATTTTCAAAGTCATATACATCAACAAAATGTTACATTTTGCCCCACGGAGTATGAGTGGGTAGCAATCTAAAAAATTAAGCTGCATATATAGTAAAAGAAATTAAACAAAATGATACGTTCACAAGAGGAATTACTAAATACTTGAAATTTAGTTAATTGGGTTATGCGAAAATTTTTACAGAACTAAAACATGTAACAAATTTAGAGACTTGTATTGTACGTAATGGATGAAAAATAACCATCTTGATGAAATAAGTGACAAAAACTTTGCCAAAACTCCCCTTCTTACCTCTTGACTTCCCTCTTAATTTTGTCTCGTGATTTTCTTTTGATTGTTCCATTAAACGGTTAAAAAAGAAAGTTTATACATCACTCTCCTAACATAATGTGCACCAGCAAAGTAAACGATTTGTTAACACCACTTGGCAGTGGTGGCAAAGTGAGCGACAAAACGTCAGTCCAGGGGAAATGACTTGTGTACACATATCTGGCACTATTGTTGAGACTTGTGAGTGTGATTCTCACATCAAGTAAAGGACCTGGCAAATTACATCGAGGCGAAAGGATTATGGATATCACA